GTTGTCGACCGGCTTCCTTATATTATTTAGTGATAAATAAAGGATCATCCATGAATTCACATTTTTGGCATTCCACAACAAAATTTATGTCACAAAAAGAGAAAAAATAACATCATTTATGTTAGGTCTGTGATTTTATGCTTGGAAACAATTTTGGTAAAACATGTTTAATTTAGAAAAACATGTATCACAGCCGGATCTTGAGAAAGATATCATGACATCTTGACCAACTGGTACAACAGAGTCTGTTGTTACTTTTTTTTACAGATGTTCAGACAAATGTTGTGACATGTTATACCAGAACATCAGAACAATTCTGCATTTTAAATCCTTGAAGATTTGATTTAAAATATGATATTTGGGATAATTTTAGTTCTCGTACAGGCGCGACTAAGCAATAATATTTTAGGAACATTGCATATTTTATTTGGTTTCATAAGAAGGATCTTGAAGACTTTTTAGGAAACTTTGTATTTTGTTCCTATTATTATTTAGGAAATTAGGCTAATGATTGAAAGCTGATTCCTGATGATTCGCGCTTCAATAAACCCGGACCCACGAAGTCTGAAGGCTATTTAAAGAAAGGAGATAGACCTATTGCAGCTTGGACATTGAAAATTTGGGAGAATTAGGGTTAGTCGTGTCTTTGTGGTGTTTTAGGATTTAGTGTGTTTTGTTTGTATGTCACTCTTGTATGAGGTTTGATGCATTAAGTTGACTGATTGTTCATTGTTAATTGTTCACTCTAAAACTTTTAAGCAAAAGTGTTTTATTCTTAGTTGAAACTTTTAAGCAAAACTAAGTATTGTCTTGGAAGTGTGTCACTTCTATTTTGATGGTGTTGAATTGTCATTGGTTTGTGACTGGTAGAAAGTGAGAGGGCTTTCTGATGTCTAGGAGTTCCTAGGTAAAAGTTAGCACGGGTAATGATTAGGTGATAAGTTGTAAACGGGGGAGTTTAGCTTTGAACTAATACTATTATAGTGGATTTTCTTCCTGGCTTGGTAGCCTCCAGATGTAGGCGAGTTGCATTGAACTGGATTAACAATTACTGGTGTTACTTTATCTTTCTGCCATTTAAGTTTCTGCATATTTACTTGTGTGATCAAATTGTCTTGACCCAGTGTTATGACATATGTCTCGACATCTAGCATATACGTGCCAGAATTTCAATTTACTTGAAGTCGCTAGAACTCTTATCTTCCAAAATCATATTGGGGTGAAGTGGATTTGACCGCTACTTATCTTATTAATCATGCATAATTTTATATTATAGAAAATGTTTATGATCTATCTTTTTCCTTTTTCCTCTATGTTGCAGGGTCTTGAATCTCGATTATTTATATGTGCATCTCTTGCTCATGTTCATAAGCAACACTGAACTAAGATAGATTCTCGTTCACTTAAATATGTCTATGTGGTTATCCTCCTAATTGAATAAGGTACAAATGTTAGAACCCTCCAGTTATAAGTATTTTGTTTTTAAAGCTGTCACATTTTAAAAAATGTGTCTTACTTCACTCGTCAACGGTCTCAGGGGGATAATATGTACTTTGTTCCTGAGTTTAAGTTTCTAATCCTTATTCATAGCTTCTCTTAAACATGTGTCTCAGTTCCTATTTGAGTGAATCTACTCCTATTCCTAATAAATATACTCGTAGTCTTGAGTCTACTTTTGAACTTGAATTGTCGCCTATTGTGAATAAACTCATTTCTATCCATAGTCTTGAGTTAACTCATAGTCCTAATGTGGTTTTTCTATTGTCTTCTATTTTGCATGAATTAACACATTCGACACCCATTATATTGTATTAGAGAAAAATTAAAGTTAATATGCTCTAGAAATAACTCCAATTTCTTGAGTCAAAGGTATGTACTTAAAAGTATTTCCTAATTAGTGATTTTCAAATTTTTGATACTGGTCTGAATGTTACCCATTGCTTTGGAAAAAGAAAAAAAAATATTTTGTCCTTCCATGTATAAATATAATATTTCTCAATATATCTTCTCTAAATATCTTTTCACATAATATCATAGTTTTATTGCAGCTATTGACTTAGTGAGAAGCTTGTCATATGTTGATGAAACATTTAAAATTTTAGTTCCAAGTTGTGAGTGAAGAAATGAAAACTCTTAATAAAAATGGTACTTGAAAAATTATTGTGAGGTAGAGAGACAAGAAATCAACTGGATTCAGATTGATCTATATTGTAAATTACAAATTAGGTGGAACCCTTGATCGCTACAAAGAAAGACTAATGAGAAATAGTTATGCTCATACATATGGTATTGATTATGATAAGACATTTGCACTAATGAAAAAGATAAATATTGTTAGAATATTACTATCTCTTGTTACGGGATGAAAATGACAATATTTTGATATTAAAAATGATTTTTTTGCTTTGAAAACTTAAAAGAGAAAGTGTATGTAAAGATTTCATTCGATTTAAATTCTATAGGTGAAGCCACGTAATTTGTTTTGATTGAAGAATAGATAAAATTTATTGTATTCAATCAGTGTAGTGAGTCAGTTCATATACGATCAAATGCTGAGACATTTGAGGCAGTAGGCCGTATTATATATCTCAAAGTCGCTCTTGGTATATGACTCTTGCTTAAAAGAAGTGGAAATCTCAGTACGAGGCTTATATTGTATTTTCTTGTATAGAAATCTTATTTGCTGGGAGGAGTGAGAAGCAAAGTGCAACAGCTCGATCAATGTTAAAACAAAACTTTGGTTTATAGCTTTAGAAATTTGTAAACTAGTGTGGATGAAACAAGTGCTAAAAGATTTGATAATAGCCTATGAGGTTGTTTTGTTACAATAAATTGTCCATCATTTTTGCACATAATCATGTTTAACATGAAAATGGAATAAGATTGATCGATATTTCATCAGAGAAAAGTTGAATAAAAGTTAAATAATGAGTTGACAACTATTCAGAGACGAATCTAGGTGGGGACTGTTGACCCCGTATACTTAATTTTATTTTAGTAAATAGTTGAATGTTTTATATTTTGACCCCAATTAAAATAGAATAATGCTCCACATTTCTGTCTCACAAATGGCACACTATCAACCTTATTCCTTACTTTTTATTCTGCAAGAAATAAACTATTTTATTTTAGACAAATACTATAGTACACATTAATAATATATTTTATTATTTGTCGGCATAGATTTATTTTTTTAGGCAAATTTTAATTTGTCTTTGAAAACTGTGAATAATATACTAATAAAAAATTAGTTACATGAATAAAGTTGAAAGTGGTATACAATCATCTTTTAAGTTAGATAGAAAACATAAATATTTGTGAACCACCTATTAATTATATTTTGTATTAGGTTGAATTCTTTACCAATTCTTTAAAAGAAAGTTTAGGCATTTTATTATTATTATTATTATTATTATATTTGTTAGTTTTTTTATTATATTAGTTAGTCAATTAACATAGTCTTAGAAGGTAAAATTTTAAACAAATACAAATAGTTAAATAAAGAAGACCATGATGTAAAGTTGAAACAATTTTGAATTTGTATCACTTTAAGTTTAGATGATTTATATGATGAGTTAGAGACAATTTTAAAAATTAAATAATATTTTTACAAAAGATAAATAATGGGTTTTTTTATTAGTATAACAAGCTTAAGCAGGAGTTTTTTATTTTTTATTTTTATTTTTTTTACATTTGATAAAGAAATTTTAATTGTTGTGACTTGATTTTATCAATCAAAGTAATATATTAAATAGTGTTAAAAATGAAAAAAAATCATTTTCAAATATTAAAAAAAAACATAAATATAATTTTTAAATGTTAAGGTGTTTTCAATTTTATGATATATAATGATATATATATTTTTTTTATGTTATTTTTCATTATTTCATATTTTTTTATAAATATTTATAATATATAATTTTGACCCCTCTTATTCAAATTTATGAATCTGTCTATGCAACTATTACTTACATACCTTCTGAACATCACCGGATAAATGTGTTAATAAAGAATTTATCATCCGAATGATTCAACCAACTTACTTATAAGTATAGAATGATTCAACCAACTTACTTATAAGTTTGGAATGATTCGTATTTATTCATCCAATAAAATATTATAAATATAAGATTTTAAATAATACTCCATCTCACTCAAAATAATTGTCATATTTTATAAACTTATTTATTCCAAAATAAGTGTTACATTTTAGTTTCCAATGCAATTCTAATGTTTAACTTTCAATTATATCATCTAATTAATACTTTTAATTTATTATTCTCTCACTCCGCATTTATGATAATTCAAATACATCAATAATAAACAAGAATAGATTGATATATAAAAAATACTATTTTTTCTCTTTTATTTATTACATTTTTTTATTTTTTTTAATATATATAAAATAATCAATTATAACAATTATTTTGAGACAACATTTATAGTATTTTATTTTATTAGTATAAGACACATTAAATAAATTAATTATGGTGTTATAAATTACAACATTGAAATATCTACGCTAAATTGTGGTGACTATTTAGTTGAGGTTTTTCAAAATAGCTGTAAATTCCAATAAGCATTTTGAGTGTGGAATAAATAACTCTACTTAATAAAACAAAGCCTCTTAGCTCTTGCTACCATTGCACTTTCACAAACAAGTGGACAATGACAAAGCATTAGCACTCAAGAAAAATATATATTGTATTGGGTCTTAACACTCTTAACTTAACAGATTAACATTTACCAATAAAACCAGCTTGTAAAATATGAAAATTTTTATTATATTTAGTATAGTTCATTCTCACCAATAGTTCACATTAAAATACCATATCCTTTTAAAACTTTATTCCATTAAAATAAAACGCACACACTATATATATAGAACACTGAAAACATAGTAGTTTCTCTGTCCGACACGAGGCATAAACAAAAACAAATTGGAACCTCACTGATATGAGTTTACTTACTTTATAAGCTCATAGACATGGCAAAGAGTCATGGCCAAAAACAAAGACAAAGCAAGTTCTGATTCTGAAAATTCTTTATTTTCAACAGGTTCAAACTCTTCAATGGGTAATAAGTATAGATACATGTTTAACAGACTATTCAGGTTTGCTAATTCATGGAAGAAAAGTAGCACACCAAGAGGTAGAAGAATTTTCCACAGAGATGTTGAAAAAGAAGAATTTCAATATGCTAGTAGTCACTGCCTTTCATCCTATTACAGCGTTTTTGTGGTTAGATTAGCAATCATGGTTAGTGAATCTCTATCTTGTTTATGTTTTGACACATGATAAAATTTCATATATAGATTTTCTGTCATAAGTGATGTAACTGAAAAGGGTTACATCACTTATGCTGAAAGTAATGTATTGATACGATGAAAATTGTATTTTTGTTTAAACAGGTAATGCTAGCAATCTTGATAGGGCTATTGACAATATTAACATGGCATTTTACAAAGATTTATACTGCGAAATCACTGAGTAGTTTGGCGTATGGTTTGCGTTACGAACTTCTGCAACGTCCAATTTTGAGGATGTGGAATATTTTGAACTCTACTTCTGAAATCACAACAGCTCAAGTCAAGTTGTCTCAATATGTTATCAGACGTTATAGCAATCCTGCAAGTCAAGCAGAACAAGTTGAGGTTAAATTTTACTGTTTATCATGAAAAGTATGTGAAATGGAGTGAATAATGAACTTAATTATGAATAATTTGTCCTTAAAGTTCACTATTTAGATTAATTTAATTGCTGAATCATATAGCACTTAGTGACCATGCAGTTTGATAATATTCAATAAAAATACAAAATTTAATTTATGAACCATATAGCACTATCTTAGTGATCATGCTATTTAAATTTGACATTTATAAGCTTACACCTTTATCTTCAATATTGTCATAAATCATAATATATGTTTAAGAAAATTTTAGGATAAACTGTTACAAAGTGTGTTGATACTTTTAGTATGATGTTTTTCAATCTTGCTAGGTTGAATTGATGAAATTCATGAAGAAAAATATTACAAAACTTAATCCTCTTATATTTGACCAGTTGATTTTATTTGTAGCAGCTATATGAAGCAATGAGAGCAGTAACATGGTCACTGTTTGCAAGTAAAAAAGCTCTAAACTCGATAACAATAAATTACAAGAATGGATTTGTTCAAGCATTCCATAGAGATCTAAAAGATAACAACACATTTTACATCTACTCGGATCTTTCAAATTACTCAATGGTTGCAACAACCTCAAACATGGTCAATACCCTCTCAACTCATCAAGCTTGGGATGACAAAACAATTCATGGAAACTTCTCAGCAATTTGGTATAGAGAACCACTTGATCCAGTCACGGGCGAAAAAATCGGAAAAGCAATGAAAATTGCACCAGAAGATTTAATCAACATCGCAGGACTTTCACAAGTTCCTGATGGTGTAGCTACATGGCATGTAGCAGTTAGTAAATTTACAGATTCGCCTTTGCTTTCAGCAGCGTTACCTGTTTGGGATTCTTCGAATAAAAGTATTATGGCTGTTGTTGGTGTTACAACTGCATTTTATAGTGTTGGACAGTTAATGAGAGAACTTGTTGAGATGCATAGTGGTCACATGTATTTGACTTCACAACAAGGCTATTTGCTCGCAACTTCTACAAGTGCGCCTTTACTTACAAATTCAACTAAGCCACCACCTAAGCTTAAGATGGCTGTGGATTGTGAAGATGGTATAATAAGACTTGGTGCTGAGTGGTTGCAGAGAACTTATGGGAATCATTTTCCTAATTCAACTCATGAGGTTCATGTTGAGAATGCTAAACTAGGTCACCAGGAATATTATATTGACTCATTCTACCTAAACTTGAAGAGGCTTCCTTTGGTAAATATATGAATAGACTGTGTTTAAAATTTATAATAAGATATATGATGATAACTAAGGTAGACTTTTTATAGGTGACACCAAGGTTTTATATCTATTCAGCAACCACGATTGTGGCCACAACGGAGAGATTTTTTTGTCTCCACGGCCTTATCAAGACATCAGTCATATTTAGGAGTGGCAAACAGGCAATGCCCGCCCCATTTATGCCCGCCACGCAAAAGCCCGCAAAAAACCGGGGCGGGGCAGGCATATTTGAGGGTGTGGACCTAAAACTTTGCCCCGCCCCGCATAAAAGTGAGGGCGGGCATGGTGGGCCCACGGGCATTGAATCTTTTAGGTCTAAAAACTACAAAACTGTATGTAAAAGCCTGTGCCCGCAAAAAAAGGGGCGGGTGGGGCGGGCACATTAAAGTGTGCGGGCCTAAAATCTTGACCCGCCCCGCGAAAAAGTGTGGGCAAAATGGACATGCCCGACGGGTCGGACCCATTTTGCCACCCCTAGTCATATTTGACTGCAATTTCTTATAGTATGTAAGATCACGATTTAAAACCGAGAAAGGGGGGCATGCATTTTTAGTGTAAACTAGTTTTACACCGACAATGCTCCTTCATTAAGCTCTTTAGAACCTTGATGGTCACTCTCTTTTTTTCAAATAATTCTACTAAGCATAAATTTCAGGAAAAATGTTTTTGTTTTAAGTCACCAATGATTTTGTTATTCTTTTTTGTGTACAACTTATGACTTAAATATTTTGCAGGTAGGTGTAATCATCATACCAAGAAAGTATATAATGGGACAGGTGGATGAGAGAGCCTTCAAAACTTTGGTTATTCTGATATCGGCAGCTTTGTGTATTTTAGTCATTGGGTGTGTTTGCATTTTGATATTGACAAATGGAGTGTCAAAGGAAATGAATCTAAGAGCAGAATTGATAAGTCAACTTGAAGCGAGAAGGAAGGCAGAGGCATCAAGCAACTATAAAAGTCAATTCCTTGCAAATATGAGGTTTGCTTTTCTCAAATTCTGTTTAACAAAGTTTTTTATTCAATTTATGGTCTAAGTATTTACTTTAGAGAACAAGGCCACAAGTTCAGTTTAACATACTTCAAAATATTGTTATAATGGACATTTCTTCTTTATTCAGCTTATTTTCTTAAACTCTTCACGATAGTCTATAAAAACAACTTATAGCTTAATTGAAAACAGTTTGAATTTATTTTATCTTATGTTATAAAAATAACTTATACACTATCACATATGTTATAAGTATTTTAATCAAGTTGTTTGCCAAAAAATAGCCTATAAGTGCCTAATTAAGTTGGGACTCATGCTAAATATGACGTAGGAGGTTCAGAATTCAATTCCTACTACTAACAAATCTTGCTCTTTCTAACATGTTAACCGCTAAAAATTTCGCTATAAAGAAAATAGATGTGTCATGCACTGTAATTTTTAAAATCTGTCACTTTTTTTTTTCAAAATGTGCTTCATAGTTTGTTTTTTCTTGGTTGTATTACAGTCATGAACTAAGAACGCCTATGGCAGCAGTAATTGGATTGCTGGACATTCTTATATCTGATGATTGTCTCACAAATGAACAATATTCAACAGTTACTCAAATAAGAAAATGTTCAACAGCTCTACTACGTCTTCTTAACAACATATTGGATCTAAGCAAGGTGACACATATATATAATAAGCTAAACTTTATATTCAAAAATATTTCAAAACCAATTGCACTAGTACCAAAAAGCTTCCTAATATTTTGCACTATTTAGGTGGAATCAGGAAAACTTGTACTAGACGATGCAGAATTTGACCTGGGACGTGAACTTGAAGGGCTTGTAGATATGTTTTCTGTTCAATGCATTAATCACAATGTAGAGACTGTTTTAGACCTTTCTGGTATGATTCTCAATTTTGTTCAATGCATCATTGACTTTAACAAGTTTCTGACAAATTATATTCAATCATTATCTATTTTCAATGCAGATGATATGCCAAAAGTAGTTAGGGGTGACTCTGGAAGGGTTGTTCAAGTATTTGCAAATTTGATCAACAATTCAATTAAGTTTACTACATGTAAGTCAAAATGTGTATGAAAAATATCATAATATTTATGTAATTTTTGAGTGTTGTAGGGGACTAAAGTTATTCTAAACTCTTGCATAAATGTACTACAGCTGGTCATGTTATTCTTCGAGGATGGTGTGAATATCCAAATTCTTGCGATAGTCCAAACTTTTATCTTGATCAGAAGAAATCAAGGATTGTACAAAAGAACAAAGAGAAGCCAAATGCAAATCATGCAAGGAGAATATCTATGAGAGATAACAACAATGTGATACTTTGGTTTGAAGTTGAGGACACAGGCTGTGGTATGACAACTGTTTACATTTAGGACTGTCCCTTATGTCAAAATACAAATCAATCAATGAATAAACCAGTGTTTTCCTTCTTTTGTATGTGATATAGGTATTGATCCCAGCAAATGGGATTCTGTGTTTGAAAGCTTTGAGCAGGCTGATCCATCAACTACCCGATTGTAAGCAATTTTTTTTCAATAGAGAAAAGATAGAAAATGAATTTGATGTAGGTAATGATCTCGATATTGATGAGCATCAAACGGATGAAATTTTTAGTTTCTGATTCTTCAAGTCGTGATGTGAGTCATCCAATATTTGTCTAACCACTTAGATCAGCTGACTGCAGTGGCCAACTGTAGAAGTTATTGAGTGGTTTTTAGATTACAAATTATTTTGATATTAGTATTATATATGATTATTATAGTTTAAGAACTTTTTGAATGTTATGGGCTGTAGATTTACTGGTTTATGAATCCTTTACTTATTTCAGGCATGGAGGAACTGGTCTTGGTCTTTGCATTGTTAGGAATTTGGTAAGTAATACCTTAAGGAGTAAAGTTTCAAAATAAGTAAACTACAATGCCATTCTTTATAAATGTGTTTGATGAAAGAAAAAAGATAGATCCGAATTTCTAGAGTCATATAATCACGCATTTGACGAAGTCGCACATTCTATATTGTCAAATCAAGATCGGACAATTCCTTTCCTTTGAATATAAGTTTTGAGTTTGCTTATTTGCATATAAGTTCCTTTGATCTTATTATTACCGTTGAATTGGATGGAAGGTTAATAAGATGGGTGGAGAAATCAAGGTTACCAAAAAGGAGGGTCAAGGAACATTGATGAGATTATGTTTGCTTCTCAAAGCACCTATGGACGTCACAGAACAACAGTGTCCACTAAATTTGACAGACAATGGCTTAGTGGTGAGTACATCATTCTTCTTGGCAAATAATACGTAAAAGTTGAATACTAAAAGTTTATGGTATATACATAATAAAAAAAGTTATTAATTAAAATTGTGAATGCAGGTATTGCTTGCACTACAAGGCAACATGAGTAGATTAGTAACATCAAAGTGGTTAACCAAAAAAGGGGTGTGCACAATGGAAGCATCTGAATGGAACGGACTGACTCAAGTTTTAAGGGAACTCTTTCATGCAAGAAGTTCAATCCATAATAACAACAACTTCGATGCACACTATCCAATAAATCTTGAAGGATTCAAGTCCAAACTACTCACCATAAAAGACATGAGGAACCCAATTTTTGTCATTGTTGTTGACATTAGTTTACTTGACTTAAGCACGGATATATGGAAGGAACAACTTAACTTCCTTCACAAGTATTTTGGAAGAGCAAAATTTGTATGGATGTTAAACCATGATACACCTAATACGATAAAGATGGAGCTCCGTAGGAAAGGTCACTTACTAATGGTTAACAAGCCTCTTTACAGAGGAAAAATGATTCATATTTTGGAAGCTGTTATGAAAAACAGAAATATTGAGCTACAAAAGAAAAACATGAAAGAGGGTGATTTGCACGAGTTTCTTGAGATTGATTCTACTCATTTTGACACTGCTACTAGCTCTGATGATTCTGACATATCTGAAGTTAGTGAAAAACCAATTTTAAATATAACCAATGAAAAAGAACATTTGGAAGAAAAAAATCTTAGGAAAGAAGAATCTTGTTCCTCATTTTCCACTGAAAAACAAGATGAAAAATTTGAATGTGAGGGAACAAATAGGGCGACAAGGTCGAGAAAAGACGTGAACGATAAGAAATCACTCGAGGGATTAAGGATTTTGCTTGCAGAAGATACACCGGTAATTCAAAGGGTAGCAACTATAATGCTTGAAAAAATGGGAGCCGTTGTTGTTGCTGTAGGTGATGGACAACAAGCAGTAGACGCTCTCAACTACATGGTAAGTGCCGAAGATTGTAGAAGAGAGTCTCTCCAGAAAGAGAGAAATACAAGACCACAAACCGAGATTTTGACTTGTCATCCATATGACTTGATCCTAATGGATTGTCAGGTATGTACAACAAAACCAGCGTTTATTTGAACTTACCTAAGAGTTCGTTTGATTAATTTATTTGAACTTATCTACTGACATAAGCACTTGTGTTAAGACAGTTTTACAGGGCACATGAAAACAATTTATAACGTGTGCATAAGTTGTTTTTAGGTTGAACATACTGATAATTTATCGGTTTGTGTGGAAATTTAGATGCCAAAGATGGATGGATATGAAGCAACAAAAGCAATAAGAAAATCAGAAGAAGGAACAGGAAAGCACATACCGATCGTTGCTCTAACCGCGCATGCAATGTCTTGTGATGAAGCCAAATGCCTTAAGGTTGGCATGGATGCTTACTTAACAAAGCCAATTGATTTCAAGCTTATGGTTTCCACCATTCTCTCACTCACTAAACCAGCATCTTGATTTCTTCTCAGCTTTAATTCCTAAGCAAACGGAGAATTGGATTAAACTACATATATTAACATCATATATAACATGTATTCTAAAATGTAGATCAATTTTACCACATATTAACAGCTTTAATCACATTCTGGCTAATAAAAATAAATGTATATAGAATGGTATGAGAAGTAATGGTTCTTGTTGCAATAAATCTTTGTAATATAAACATGTAACTTGAATTTTGATTATGAAAGTGTGTGTATATTGAGAAGCTTTAATTTCATTTTTCTTATAATTGTTAGGTTTTCGTCTCTTTGATCTCGTTAGATGCAAGATAAATAAACTAATACGATATGAAATTGATAGATTATCATAAATCTTACACTAGAGTGAAGACGCGAGTTTTGTTTCTTTTCCAGCGAAGTGGATGCAAGGTGGAATGGAGACGGTGGCTGATAGACACCGGCGACGGATTCTAGAGGAGTAAGGTGGTGCCTGGTGAAGGAGACTTGAAAAATAATTTGATGTGGCGTATCCACTATAAGCTGTAGTGAGTCTAAAATAGAAAAGATGGATCTGACGGTCGTCATAATTAAATTGAAAATTAGGTTTTAAACTGACAAAAATTATAAAAAAACGAAATATTAAAAAATTGGCCCATGCAGGTCTCGAACCTGCGACCTTCGCGTTATTAGCACGACGCTCTAACCAACTGAGCTAATGGGCCAATTGGTTAGAATCATACAATTGTTTTTTTTAAACTATATTTGACTGAAGAATTATACTTAGTTCAAATTTAAATTAACACTGCTTATGATTAAATTCAAAGGAGAGTATACAATAAAATGTAATTTAAATTCAACTAGTATCAAATGCTTTTGAAACTCACATCGTGTAGTACATGATAGTATGTTTTCTGGTGAACAAATAAAGTATATTTCAATAATAAATAACAATCTTTCAGTTGATTTTTTTGTTGAGTTCAAGCAAGTAACCCAGAACCACAACAGTTGATGCAATAACCACTCCTAAAACTGCCTTGGCCAATTTGGAACGATAATTGCAATTGGGATTGAAGCCTAATTCAGAGAGTTTCTTGTGTGACTTTGCATAATCTTTGAAAAAAGCTTTCTCATCCTATAACAATTCAAAATTATCATTAGCACCAAAAACTCTATACTATATTATATTATGATATTATAAAGAAAGAAAAAGAAAATATAGTAAAGGCAAAACCTTAGCATAGAGTTCAACATATTTACGAAACTTTGGATCTTCAACTAGAACCTTATCAGTGGGAAGCTTCAACAAGTCTTTTGATTCCGAGTTCAATAATTCCCTGTTTAGTTAATGAATCTTGTTTTAATTACGAAATTTCATAACATAATTTGGTAATTAATGAAAAAGTTATCTTACACAAAATAAGAGTTATCAAATTTGAGAGGGTCTCTTGTCCATTGACCTTCAAAGTCAGATCGATCCTTATGTGCCTTACCCTTATCAATTAAAATTAACAATATATAATAATAATTAATAAGATTAAATTTATATTATAAAAAAGAATGTTGGATTTATGATTCTTAATCATACCAAAGTGTGGCCTCCAGAGAGAGCTACTATGTCTCCATCATTAAGACCCATGCGATAAAAGACCTCTCTTAAATGCGATGCACCTGAATTTTGATTTTTTTTTTCATACATCAATTAGTGAAACCGTTCTAACTAACTTTGCTTTAAGAATCAGGATCCCACAGCAGAATTTAATTTAATTACCTTGTTTAGCATCTGGAAGACGACCTTCTTCCGGAGATTCCAAAGAATCCTTATTCAAAAAATTTAAAGCCTTTCAGTGAAAATTTCGTATACAGATACTAAACACAGACACAAATACATTTTTTTTAGAGTTTAAGCGTTGAAAGATGAATTTACCTTTCTACCAGGAACAAAGTGGATAGCTGGACCACCGGTGACCTCTACCGCTACAACACCAGCTAGCTGGTAAAGGTCCGCATATGAAATTTTAGGGTGTTTAGCTTTCACTTCCTCTATTTTTAAACAAAATGCAATAATGATTAAACAAAGATTAAATAATTAATTAAATAGTTGATTATTTCAGTCTCCTTTACCACATAATTCAACGGCGATTTTCAAGCCTTTGTTAGCAGCATGATTGAGCTCTTGTTGATTTCTGATAGAACCATTTGGACCTCCTGTTCTTGTTTTTGCATCGTAGGTACCAGCATCGTGCCATCTATGAATCAATATTACTAAAGGAATTATTTTATATAACTAAAGGTTTGTAATTGTAATTCATAAAGTTGAAACTAATGTAAGTGATCAACATACGCTAATCGAAGCATGAGAGGAGCACATTTTTTGTTGGTAATAAGAGAACGAAGATCGCTACGAGTCTTGTAGATTTCCTTAACATACTCTGCATCAACTCTATATTGTGCCATAGGTGCAAGATTTGTGTGAGAGAGAGGGTTTTGTTGGTTGTGATTTGGGAAATGAAGGGGTTGGTTGATTTATAAGAGAATGAGGAAGATGCTGATTATGGTGGTAGCATGGAGTCATGCAAGTAAAGGATTTTATTGCTTTGCTGAGATGAGAGGAAAAGGAAATTGTTTTTGCTAATATTGCTTCATAACAACAAGATTCTATTCAATACAAAATTCTACAAATTTGCAGTACCCTGTGTAGAGCGCTGGAACATTCTACATAAAGGTAACCATCAATAGTTTAATTTCAAGAGGAGTCATTTTAGATGAAGAATTCAATTGAATTGAGATTGAAACCTTTTTTTATAAAAAATACCTTATGATATTCGATCAAAGCTTTAACAAAACTCAAATTAATTTGGTGCTATTTAATTACGACAATAACGATTTTTTAAGGTAATAAAATCAATTGAAATTCAATTAAAAAATTTACAATTTATTATAAGTTTTTTTTATATTCAAAATCTATTGATTTTTAATAGACTTTTTTTGATGGAATAATTTTTTAGAGAATTTTTAATTATATTTATATATATATATATATATATATATATATATATATATATATATATATATATATATATATATATATATATATATATATATATATATATATATATATATATATATATATATATATATATATATATATATATATATATATATATATATATATATATATATATATATATATATATATATATATATATATATATATATATTTAATTAATTAATTAATTAACTAATTAATTAACTAATTAATTTTATATATATATATATATATATATATATATATATATATATATATATATATATATATATATATATATATATATATATATATATATATATATATATATATAATCTCATGTAAATTTGTGATATTAATTTAAACTCACAAAATTTTTCTCTCGTCATGTTTAGTTTTTCTTTTCCTATTTTTATTCATTCATTATCATTTCCTCCTTTTCTTTAAATATGATTCAACATTTTTATCTAGCAAAATTTTTAGATTTTACTTTTTTTTTAATATTTTTTTAATTTATATTTTGTTATATTATTTTTATATTATTAAATTTTATTTTTATTTTATTAAACTTTTTAAGTAGATGTTATTTTTGTCAGGTATTTTTTGAATTCTTTTTTATAATAATGATGTTTTTCAATTTTATTATCACAATAATCATCTTCCTTTATAATATATCAAAATACTCATATTTCAAACAAAATAATTTCGTAAAAAAGATGCGTCACACATCCTATCATATGTACTCATAAACGAACATAGGCGTCATATACACTCGCGACTGCACCACCAAAGCACCAGTCCAAGTGGCACCAATGTTGATGACAAAGAGGAGACACCAGTAGATCTGACACCTATGTGTATTTACATTTTCTTTTATTTTTTAAATTAAATTTGCAATTAAATAATTTTTCAAAAAAAAATGAAATAAAAAAATTAAATACTGATATTATTTAATTTAAATAGAATTACATGCGGGATAATTTTTTACACATACTTTAACGATTCGCTTGATCATAACGGCCACCAGTTTCATAGTCTGGCGGTGCCATTTGTCGTTGAGGTCTCTCATGATTCACCTGAAGTGTTTGGTGTGAGGTCCGTAGAATATTAGTGTTGTCCATCAAATCTAACATATCTTGTCAGCTTAGTTGGAACGTGTTGTCATGATCGAGTTTGGTGCTCAAGTCGTTGTAGTTTGGTCGTGTTGATTGGGTTATGGGTGGGCAAACTGGTTTGTTAAATTGGGACATTTATTCTTTTGAAAACGAGGTAATGGTTGTCGCAGTGTTTGGTAGGCATGTGTTGGTTGGGTGCTTTAATGTTGTGATGTTTGGGTGCTTTGGTGGTGTAATGTTTGAGTGTATGTTGGATGGGTGCTATGGTAGGCAGTTGTAGTATCATATGCCTATCGGTGTTATGGTAAGATGTGGTGGCGGCATATGTTTGTTGGTAGTATGAGCCATGTTCTTGGTTTTGTGTTCAGGTGTGTGGCATGTATTAGTCGGGGTTTTGTAATGTTGTTGGGTTGGTTGTTGGATGTAGTTGTGTTAGTAATCATGTTGAGTTGGTTCTTGGGTGTATGTGGTCTGGTAATGTTGATGGGTTGGCAATTTTATTAAGTTGGTTGTTGGGTGTAGGTGTGTTAATAATCATGTTAGGCGTTTGATGACAAAGCTCATTGGCGTGGGTCAATCAAATACCTCGATTTAGACACAAAGTTGTAACTGATATATACTAATTCATATAATTATGAGTTAGCTTAGATTCATATGGCATGACAACTTTGTTTATGATTTGTTGATGACAACGCTTCCACTGATTACTGTTACTGTGCGAAAAATACCCGAGCACATCCACGCTCGAAAATACAACAGAGTTGCCACTTAATTTTATTTATTCTAAGAGTCGCCACTGAATACCTTAGGGATATGATTCCTAAGCATGAATACTACAACAAGGTAATAAGGGAGCATGAAGAAGATATGTTACAATCATGGATCACCTACAGAGCGGATAATGGATCTAGTGCTTTTGAAGTGTTTGGAGGTGAAGACTTGAGCAAAGAAATCCAAAGACACAATCAGGTATGAATCTCGAACCCTAGCTCCTTGTGATTCCTTCTCCTTTCCTCTTCTTCTATCCCTTCTTTGAGATTCTGCGATTGAAATTATCCTGTAGAAAATTTGTGATTGTTTTAGCTTGATTATGAATGGAGAGATTGAGAGCAATGAGGTTTAGATATACTCTTTCAGAGCTTCAATGTGAAGCTCTGAGGAGTATTTTGCTTTAATGGTGGATTAAGGGTGAATTAAGAGTGAATTGGGGGAATTGCAAAGGATTTGGCAGATTGAGGTTGAAACATGATGTAGTTGTTGACTATGATTAAAGGGGGAGATGCTTAAATAGGAGAATTTAAAGAATGATTGGAGGGAAAATAGAGTAACAAACTCATGTAGCTTAGGGAAGGAGTTAGTTAATTGTTATGGCATTGTTTAGTTTGGATGTTATAGGTTGTTAGAGTTAGTGTAAATGAACAAAATCAATTAGTGTTATAGTTAGGATTTTAATAGTGTTAGTTAGTGAAGTTAGCAAGCTAATTCAATTAATGTTTTAACAGTTAAAGGTTAGTTTAACTGTTAGAGAATTAGTTAGTAACAGTAATAACCAATTAACAATTAGTTGGGTTTAGGTTAGTGAATAACTTAGTTAACAATGGAAATTTTAGTTAACACTTAACTTGGTAATGAAGAAAAAAGTATTAATAGAAATTAATTGATCAGGCTAACAATTAAAACATTTGGTAATTAAGAAGTTAGTTGAATTGGTCGTTAAAAGTTAGTAATGGTTGTTAATTAACTAACTAATTATGATGGAACAAACTATTGAAAGTGATAGTAGGAAGTAGTTCACACAATTAGTAAAAGGGAATCAATCAGAGTTTCTTGGTTAGTGGCATGGCTAGGAATGTTAAAGTAATGTCAATGGCTTGTTTAGTTAGTCTGGAAATTAATCTTAGCGATTAAATTTATCTAAATATAAACTAACTAATGGCTTGACAATTAGGATTAATTGTTGGAGAGTTAAAGGTTGATTGTAAGTTATTTTGATGTTGGTTTTAACAGTTACATTGATTCAGTAGTTAGTTAACTTTGTAGATGACTTGAAGTGTAGGTTAAGGGCAGCCAACTGACTTGGTCAGTTAGCCTAACAATCGAGGTTAGGGCAATGTGGTTTATGGCTTGTAAATGACTTTGGTGTAGTTAGAGATTATAGGGACTAGATCTTTTTGTGGGTTGATATGTCAATTTGGGTGGTGGTTTGAATGGCTAAGTGGTGACTTATGATGAATTAGGTTATGGGGACTTGTAAGTATTAGTAATAATTCATATTTTATTATATTACTTTCTTAAGCCCATAAGTTTGTTAGAGGGTATTTTAGTATTTTATCTTATTCTAGTAACCCTAGTTTTAGCCTATAAATAGGGTGACAATCATTGTAACTCTTAATCCTGTTTCTTCTGCCGTCATTCTCTTTAATAGAATATTTCCCTATTTTCATCATTCTATCTTTGCACCAACAATTGGTATCTAGAGCTCCGGTTCAGATTCATTGGGAAACACGGGAAACACGAGTGAACGTGAGGTCTTGTGTGTTTGATTTTGATTCTTAGATTCGTGTTGAATCTTGAACAAAATCTGATCAGAATTTTATTCTGTGGGTTGGGAAACACTGTGTGAGAAATCTGAGTGTATTGTGCAAAGTAGAAGATGAACGGAAACGGCAACATGAACACCAAACTTCCAGTATTTGATGGTAAAAACTGGAATCGTTGGATGATCCAAATGCGTGTACTATTTGGTGATCAAGATGTTCTAGATCTTGTCACTGATGGTTATGTTCCAGTAGCAGCAGATGCAACCGATGAACAGAAAAACGCGCAGAAGGAAGTAAGGAAGAAGGATCAGAAAGCATTGTTCTTCATTCATCAATGTGTGGATGTAAACGTGTTTGAGAAGATTGCAGACTCTACAACAGCAAAGGCTGCATGGGACACTCTGGTGAGATGTTATGGTGGTGACGCATCAGTGAAGAAGGTGAAGCTTCAGTCCTTGAGAAAGCAATATGAGAATCTCAACATGAAGAATAATGAGAAAGTTTCTGAATACATCTCCAGAGTGATTCTGATCACTAATGAGATGAAGGCATGTGGAGAAACTCTTTCTGAAGAAACAATCATGGAGAAAGTGTTGAGATCCCTTACTCCTCAATTTGATTACATTGTGGTAGCAATAGAACATTCCAAAGATCTGAGCACAATGAGAATTGAAGAGCTGCAGAGCAGTTTAGAAGCGCAAGAGTTCCGTTTGACTGAGAGAACTTCTGAAAGGGAAGTAGAGCAGCAGGCTCTGAAAGCAACTTCTGATAGGA